ATTTAATCTTTTTTTTTACTATTTTTACCTTAATTTGATCATTCTATTAAAATTTTGGTGATGTGATCTATTACTTCACAATAAAAAAATGACATATCAAATATTAATACACGTGAATGATAATAAGACAAAAAAATTAATGACATGAAAAAAATAATAATATAAAAAAATATTAAATAAAACTTAAAATTTTTTTTTTTTTGTTCTTTTTCCTTCTCTTCTCCTTTTCTTTTCCTTTGGAACCCAAGGGCAAAAAATTAAAAAAAAAAAATTTGAGGTTTTGTTGATTGATGATGATGAAGAATTGATGGATGAAAATGGAGAATTGATTGATGAAAAAGCAAGGTGAGAAAGTGGAAGGAGAAAGAAAGGGTGCTGCTCGTTCGATTGAACTTAGGCATTAGGTTCTTTTGAATCTAGCATGCCTAGATTTGAAAGAATCCATAAGTAAAAAATTTTTAAATAAATTTTTTTTTTTGTGAGTTTTATTGTTTAATGATGATGATGATGAACCCAACAAAGATAGAAATTGGTTGAGATGTTAGGATTGACAAAAATTGAAGAAAAGGTAGATGAAAGAGAAGAATGAAAAAAAAAATTTTTTTGGATAGGATGAGTTGGAATGGCTATGCTGTCTATTTTTATCAACTTGTCAATTTTTGTATGACACGTAATGCTTTTTTTGTATTTGTCTGTCAATTAATGTGAAAAATTAATGGAAGGATCAAATTAAAATAAAAATGATAAACAATAAGAACCAAATTAAAGATTTTTTAAGTTTAAAGACTAAATCGAAGGCCGTATAATAATTCAACCTAATATTTATTAAAAAAAAAGGAGAATTTCAATTTCAAAATACCTGCCCCATCTAATCGTTTCTTACTCTTTTTGAAATAAATTTTTTATCACTTAATTTATTTTAAGTATTTTTTTTAAACAAATTTGTAAGGGGTAGAATTTGAACTGTTATCTGAGAAAGGAGAAATGCACTTATACGTGATTTGACGTCATTAGAATCGAAGGTCAAGTGCATTTATTTAAGGTATTATGTAATTTGAAATTAAAATTTTTAATTTTTATTTAAAAAATTTATCATTAAACTAGTTAAATAATTGGATCGTGCACTGGGTTACAAAATATTATTATTTTAAGAAAAAATACATTAGCCCAATGACTCCAATCTGCTTGTATTCGTTGGTCCGTATATGAAATGAGGAACACGAACGAGTATAACGTACTTCCTCATCAGGCCAGGGAAGTCATGGGTTTGACTTCATTCTTTTTCAACAAAAAAATTGACACGTGCCATCCGTTGATCTATCTTCGCCTCAACAACGTGTACGGTCCAGATCTATCTCCTTCCCCGGGCTTTTTCTCTCTCCAAAACCCGTGCAAAATTGTTCAAAAAATCCGAAGCCCAAAACCCCATGAATTAGTAGGACCAGGATTCCGACTTCGGACCAAAAAGAGGAAACAATCATGGCGGCGGAAACGGCTTCCTCGTCCTCCTCCCCCAAACCCTTCCAATCCCCAAACCTGTTGATGGACCCATCATCGGTGGCCACACCGACTTCGTCAACGACGGTGAACGCCAACCCGATTCCAACTTTAACGACAACACACACACAAACTCCGATGACATCAACAATTCTTCCTCAAAACAGCAATCTCAACAATCCCTCGCCTCAAATCCCATCCCCTTCTACTCTTTCTCATCCTTCTCCCTCCCTTGACCCTCAACAGCAACAGCATAACCCCCAGCAGCAACAGCAAATTTCGCAAATTTCTTCTACCCCTCTTCCTCCTCTCCCCCAGCAACAGCAGCAACAACAACAAATAGTACAGCAGCAACAGACACAGCAAAATGTCGCAGCCTTGTCGAATTTCCAAATCCAGCAATCAATGCAGAGATCCCCATCCACGTCTCGCCTGAACCAACTTCAACAACAACAGCAGCAACAATCTCAGTACGGAAACATGTTGAGGCAGCAGCCAGGGCTATATGGGCAAGTGAATTTTGGTGGGTCACCTTCAATTCAACAGAACCAGCTGCAGAATCAGCAAATGGGTACTCCAAACTTGTCCCGGTCTCGTCTGAGTGGGCAGGGTAGCCATTTGCCTATGCTCTCTGCCGTTGCTGCTGCACAGTTCAGTTTGCAGTCGCAACTTTTAGCTTCTGTATGAATCTGTTAAGCTTTTTATATATTTTCAATCCACTATATTTTGTCAGTGATTTGAGAAGTGCTTCAAAATACATACTTGCAACCTCTGTTGTTATCCTCTTTAGCAGTTTGAAGATTTCTTGGGCTAAATTGTGCCATGCTTTCATGACTTTGGTATTTGGAAGCAATTTTCTTTTCATTTGTGTGCTTAGGAGTATTGGCCCATGAAACAAAAATTTAATGGCAGCATGTAGTGCTTCTGGTGGGAATTATTCATGCTAATTAGTTGTATCTTTTGACTATAAGGATTAGAATATGGTCCTGTTAAGTTGCACTTTGCATTTGTTTATGCAGTTACTTGCTAAAAGTTTGTACAAATGTGGCCTTTGGGTCCTTGGCTTGGGTACCTTGAACTTAATCATTAATTGATGCTGTTTATTTGTCTTCTATAGTTTATTTTAAAAGTAAGAACTAAAATGTAATCATGGCATCTCAAATTTGCATTCATTTACAGTAATTATTGATCTGTGTCTTGATATGTAAAGCAAGATTTTGTGTAACTGCCTGAATTTCATGTTTGCAGTGGTTTCACTTCTTGAATGCTTGAAATTTATTCCTATGTATGTGTTTTCCTTAACCACCCTTGCTAAGGCCTGGATTCTTTTATATACTGTTTGATGCTCTTTTTGTGCAATGGTTCATTGAAGTTGTGTATGATATTCAAGAATCAATAACTATCTTTTTAGAGATTATGATGATGTTTTCATGTTAATTGATATCTGAAGGTTCAGAACATAGTAAATAAATAATTAATCTTCCAATTGCATAGTTATCTGGTTATTGCAGAATTAATATTTTGTAGTGCAACAGAAGGCTTTTAGCTTGGTAGACTAATTAAGCAATTTTTGTGGTTGAGTTAGTAGATTCTATATTTAAATCTTTACCTCTTCCCACTATGGAAGTGATTATGTTTTCTGAAAAACTGAGCTTTTTGAAATAGCCGAGGCAGAAAGCTGGGTTGGTCCAAGGGTCCCAATTTCATCCAGCAAATCCCACTAGACAAACTTTGCAAGGAATGCAAGCAATGGGAATGATGAATCCACTCAATTTGACCTCACAGCTAAGGGCTAGTGGAGCTCTTCTTGCCCAAGCCCAACAGCAGTTGAACCAGGGACACCTGAGGCAGCAACTACCTCAACAGGCTCAACTCGCATCTCCTCAGGTATATTTTCTTCAAATAATGCTGCATTACTTTCTTTCCCATTGACTGAGTTTTTGTACTAAACTAAATTCGTTCTTCTCCATAATCTTTTTGCTACAGTTGTTGTCCCAACAATGTCCTTTGTAATTTGTATAGGGACTTTATCTAGTTTCTATTATGGGTGTTAAAATACGAGTCAAGGAGAATAAGTATTGTAATAATGTACTTTTTCTGATGTTTATCTTGAACAATAGTTAGTTATGTATATTTATTTGGATTGCTAGCGAAACAAAATTCTTCAGTTGTGTCTTCTGGAACTAAATCGTTAGTGAGTTCAGTTTT